CCCCCCCCCCCCCCCCCCCCCACGTCAAGACCGCCATTCCTCAGCCCGCTGCTTCGTCAGCAGGCTACGAGCCGTCTTAACGCCCAAGACCTTGATGGCTCGACTCTTCATCGCCTGACAATAAGTTGGGCTTCTGTATACTACAAAAAGATTGATCAGGGAAAGTGTCGCTAAACTCATGTTAATGTCCGTGGATCATTCAAGACCCTTCATTAAGCGAAACCGAGCCCCTAATTTGGGTTTTGATGCTTGCTGTAATCCCGAAATCCCCAAACGAGCCCCTAAACGCTAAACCCTAAACCCCTACACCCTACACTCTCAACCCCTAAGCCCTAAACCCCTAAACCCTTAACAGAGGCCCTAGACACAGTAGCGCGCAGCTCCGCTTGCAACATCCGTTATAAGCGTGGACTTCGAAACCCTCAGACGGGTCTGAACCCATCTTACAGAGTCCATCCCTAGGGTTCAGGGTTTGGGGTTCCAGGGTTTAGGGCTTAGAGTCCCTATAGGGTTTATAGGGTTTAACTAGGGTTCCAGGGTTTAGGGCTAAGAGTTTAAGGTTTCAGGGTTAGGGTCTAGAGTTTAAGTTAGGGTTTTAGGGTTTGGGGTTTGAGGGTTCTAGGGTTGCTTTCGGCTCGTCCGGTTACCTGAATAATGGGTTAGTGGGGTATATAACATAGTATGGTTAGTAACCTACTACTGTGTTTCGGTACGCGGTGGTGCGCTCATGACGCAAGTCCCCTAACCTGCCAGGTACCTACTATATGGGTAGTTCTCTAAATTCGGGTCCCTTTTTAGGTCACCAATATACCCTTATAAAAAGCACCCCCCAAAGGGACCCTAATTTAGAGAACTACCCCTCTAGGGCCCCAGGGGCTCCACTGAACCCTGAACCCTAAACCCTAAACCCTACTGCATGGGCATCTCCGATACTGGCCCTTCATCTCGGCACTGCCCGAGCTTCAAGACAAGGACAAGTTCTGGCACTACAGCTGCCTAACTCCAGAGACGACGTTCCCCACTGGCTTCCTACCACCCTAAGGGTCCAAGTACCCATTATTTAAGGACTTTGGGGCCTTTTTGGGTACCTAAAACCATAAATAAGGACTACTTGGACCCTTAGGGGATGGTATTGCGTGATGGTGCCTTGCAACAATCTCTCCACCACCGGTGTCCAGAAGTCACCGGCCAGATGTCTTTGTACTTCGGAAACTGCAGCCAATAGGGGTCCGGAAAGGCTTCATAGGGAAGGAGCCACCGAAAACGTGTGAGCTGCTGTAGGGTTGACAATCGGAACAAAGCTGCCCTAAACCCTAAACCGTCTGTTGGGGTCCAGGCCACTGCAATTTAGTGTTTCTGTTTCGGCAGCATCCTCAGCGATTACCAAAAACACAAAGCCAAACACCAACAGCACCCTAAACCCCAAACACACGAGCAGAACCGGTACTCTTTATAGGAAGTCGGGTTTAGAGGGGCTTAGGGTTGAGGGTGTTAGACCCTAAAGTAGGTTCAAGTTGTGCACGTGCCCTCTTAATGTAAAAAACACACGAATAAGCTCAGAAAACCAACCACCAAAACTCTAAATGCCAAACCCTGAACCCTGAAAACAAAAAACCCTAAACCCTAAACTTAGTTGCTGAGTTTATAAGCCCCAAAAAGTGTACACTTTCAGTTCTATAAGGGATCATATAACCCCAAAAAGTGGAAAGGGTACTCACTCAGCTACTAAGTAAACGCTAAAGACGGAAGTTACAAAGCAAGAGAAGTTCGATGCCTCGTCGACGGGCAGGCCTCCTTGCAGAAAGCCTTCGAAGACCTGCCGCCCCCATAGCTTTCAAAAAGCCTTTTGGGGTTTAGGGTTGTTGAGGGTTTAGGGGTTTAAGGTTTAGGGCTTAGGGAATTTAAGATGTAATAAAGGGGCCATAATAATTGGAATAGAGGTTTTGGGGCCCATTACACTATAATTCTATTAAGGAAACCCCCAAACAAATAAATAGTAGAGGTAATTATGTAGGCCCCTACATTAGGGTCAAGGTTCCATTAGGGGCCCTATGAAGGTACTACGAGGATTAGGGTACAGGTTTGGGGGTTCAGGAGGGTTCCTTTGAAGCGTTCCAGCGTAGGTTACCATAAGGGTTGGGGGTTTAGGTCTTGCTTTGTTCGGGGGTCTAGGTTGGGGTTCATTTTGGGGAGCTTGGCGAGAACACGGAACCCTAAATCCCGAAACCCAAAGCTGAAGAACCCTGCAACAAAGCTTTCAGCTGGTCTGGAGGGCAGCCGTGTTGTGCGGATGGACGGCTCAAACTTTTACAAGTGCTTTCCAGACTTGTGTGGTGCCTGCATCTTCTCCTCTCTGACCCAATACTAACTTCATGTGTGAAAATGAACAGTGTATTTATACATACATATATATGTATATATATATATATATGTATACACACACAGAAGAACTATACTATAATATATATAATACACATACGCACACATACATACATACATACATACATACATACATACATGCATACACACACATCCATACATAAACATACATATCTAAACAAACAAACATACATACATACATACATACATACATACATACACATACATACATACAGACATACACACACACATACAAACATACATACATACATACAAACATACATACATACATGCATACAGACATACATACATACACACATACATACATACATACATACATACATGCATGCATACATACATACATACATACATAAACATACCTACATATATACAACCATGACATAACATTGCATAACATAAAATAACAAAACACACATACATACATACATACATACATACATACATACATACATACATACATACACACACATACATGCATATATACATACAAACATAACATGGCATAACATTGCGTAACATAACATAACATTACATAAATACATACATACATACATACATACATACATACATACTTACATACATACATGCATGCATGCATGCATGCATGCATGCATACATACATACATACACACACACACATACATACATACATACATACATACATACATACATACAAGCCACATACATACATACATACATACATACATACATACATACACATCCTTACATATATATATATACACACACACATACATACACAAACAAACAAACATACATACATACACATACATACATACGCACACATCCATACATGCATGCATACATACATACACACATACATACATACATACATACATACATACACACACATATACAGTACATCATTTACATATACACATACACATACACACATACATGCATACATAAATATTTGTTGTTGTATATATATATATATATGTGAATAACATATATGTGTGTACACACACACACATTCGGTATACATATTGCTTACCCGACATCCCGAACCAGAACAAGGCATTGCAGTCGGGTGGCGGAATGAAAAGCCTCGGGACCCACCTGACCAATGGAATCTTATGATGTAGCTGTTGCTTAGGTAACCTGACTACTTGATTGGGGCTGGTCCACAGTTGTCATTGTTATCGCAGGAAAGCAGCTGGAGTAAATCATGTACTGCTGCTGCAAGTACTGACGTGTATCATGTGTGTCACTAGTCCTTTCCACAAAACAGCCAAAGTCAAGTATCTTAAGTAAAGGGAATTGTATCAACTGACGCTCTACTTAACCAACCCACACTCTACTTACTGAGACTTACTGCCCGCAGGAGAAGTCGAGCCTGCATATTTCGGGAGATCCATATAAACGAAGCCACACGACTCCATAAGGCTCAGTCCCTAAACCCGATGTAAATCCTACACCCTAAACCCTGAACCTTAAACTGGCCCTAAACCCTAAAACCCTGAACCCCATCCAGCAAACCACACCGCAAGCGCAGAACCCGACTCGCCCGACCCCCCGAATCTTGGGGCTGGCATGGATTTCGGCTCTGACAAGCTCGGAGTCAGTTCTTGCCCGTATACTTCATATATATATATATGTATATATATATATACACACATATGCATATATTTTTAGTATATACGAGTAAGCATGTGTACGTACATATATATGTATATACATACTATACATATATAGCTATGATCATATCTATATAAATATATATAAAGAGAGATAGAGGACGGACAAGTTGCTATACTAGTACACCGTAGGAAAGCAACTAGTTGAAGGAACCCTGAGGAGTAATAGCGGTATTCATGCTGGCTGCCATGTCATCCTGGTCCCCCGACGACATCTGCTGGTCTAGAAATTTCGGATTCAGGGTGTACCCTTAACCCGAAGCCCTACAGCAGTCGCACCGAGACGCGAAACCACATGGACCGGCGGAGGACGAGGAATAACCAGGGCCATTAGGGTTTAGGGTTGGGGGGTCTGACAACAGTCTTGGCCCTGGAACCCGTCGGTGTGCACCGCATAACCCCAACCCCATTTAGGGTTTAGGGTTTATGTAGGTAACCCCACCGAACCCTTAACACCAAAGTTTGGATCCTAAGCCCTACACCCCTAAACCTAAACCCTGAGCTTGGATCCTAAGCCCTAAACCCTAAAGCCTAAACCCTGATCCCGAGCCCGGAGCCCCTCCCCACCCTGAACACCTGAACGGCGGCAGACAGCAGGGGCTTCAGCGTATTTGCCTGTGAAGACGGCGGGGACTAGATCGGGCTTTTGGTTTGCATTGCTGTCGTGCTTTCCTCTTGAACCCTAAATCCTTAAACCCTAAACCCCTAAATCCTAAACCCCTAAACCCTACACCCCTAAACCCTAAGCCCCAAACCCCTAAACCCTAAATCCTAAACGCCTAAACCCTGCTTTGCTCTATCGGTATCGGATTCAAGTCCCGCGCACAAGTCACCTACAGGCTCCACTGTAGTTTTTTATTTGGGTAGTTTTCTAAATTAGGGTCCCTTTTTGGGTCCCCAATATAGTACGGCACCCTTATAAAAAGGACCCTAAACGGGATCCTAATTCAGAGAACTACCCATTTAGGTTCCTATAACGTAATCCCCAAAAGGAGCCCTTAACCAAAAGGGAACTTAACTTTCGTGGTTTATATGTAGGTTCCCATAGCGCAATCCTTAAAAAGGAGCCCTAAACCCTCAACCCAAATCCCCAAAAGGAACTACAGTGGAGCCTATAGGCAGATTCAACTTGTAATACACAGATAGGGTCTAAAGTCTGTGCTTCCTCCGAGGGTCCAAGTACCTACTATCTTATACCCACCAACACGGTTTGGGGTTTGGGGTTTGGGGTTTAGGGTTTAGGGTTTACGGTTTAGGGTTTACGGCACAAACCTGCAACCTTATGCTCAGGTAGAGCTGTATGCGGGCATATGCAGAGGAGCTTAGGATGCAGCATTTCGGCACAGGGCATCCGGTTTTCAGGCGTTCGGCAGAGCCACACCTGATAATACTAAGCCTCTTGGACCCAGAAGAAACATGATATGTCCAATAGGCCGTGGCTTTAAATGACAAGCAACATGAAAACTAATTCGTAAGGAACACCCATTAGTTTGAAAAGTGGCTCTTCGAAATGATTCTGCTGTGATGGGAGGGGTTAGAACGACAAGCTGGCGGTCTTTAAACCAGCTTCCTTCCTTGTGATGAAAGGATCTTCTCAGAATGAACATTAGGGTTTAGGGTCCCTGTCATGGCTATAAAACTTCCTTTACATCTAAACGGTGCTACAAGGGTTCGGGGTCGGGGTTTAGGGGCCTAAGGGGTTTGTGCGACATACTGAATGACAGTCTTTCTTGAACTATCTCGTCCGCTCCAGCACCGCGTGGTGGCCTTGATCGCGAGACGAGCGAGCTTCATGTCCTGAGATCAGCGTGGACGTCGGCTGTAGATGAGTTCATGGTACCCAGTACCGAACATCACTGGTCATGGTATAGCTTCCATCAGTTTCTTCTTGCCGAGCATCATCGGCTTTATATAGCACGGTTGAGGGTCTGGGCGTTCAGGGATACGATCTCGGAATTCGGGCATCGGAAAGAGGGTTTGCGGCTCAATTGCCAGTGTTTACGTAGATCATCATCCCTAAACCCTAACCCCTAGACCCTGAACCCTAATGCCAAAACCCAAAAACCCTAAACCCAAAAACCCTAAAATCCTAAACCTAATCCTTAAACCCTAAACCCAAAGCCCTAAACCTTCTAAAGCCAAAACCCCTAAACCCTAAACCCAACAAAAAACGCCAAAACCAGCCAAGCATCTCCCAGCAGCTGCCAGCCTCGTGGAATGTCGAGGGCTTTGCCGTGTGCCTGCTGCTTCTTGTCAGGGTGCAGCGCAGAGTCCACAAAATCAACTTGTGTCACGGGAATGTATGTAATAAGTATAATCTTATTATAGTATATTATAGTTATAATACAACAAGCTATTATCTATACTTATACTGCCAATTCAAGACTGCAGCTATGACGGCATTTTCAGCTCAACATCATCAAGGTCCCATTCAGGCAACCTCAAGGCACCGCCTGGCCTGTATGAGAGCCGCGTAGCTGTACTCGTTTGGAACCACCTGTGCGAGTCGGGGGGATTCCCGAGCACATGTTTATATTAGTCTATACCTATAGTCTCCACTGTAGCTCCTTCTGTTGGTTTAACCATTTGTATATTAAGGATCCTATAAGCTAACCCCAAAAATGAACTACAATGGAGACTATAGGTATGAGCCGCTAACACCCCAGAAGCCCCGAACCTCAAGCCTTCATCCCCACCGAGGGACCCGGGTGGGTTCCTGTCGAGCAAGGTACTGTCCCTTCAACGCTATCTGTAGGCTTTACTGATGGACATCTGCAAAGCATGGCTGACCCGCAAGCACTCCCCCAAATCCTGGCCAGACTTCAAAGTTCAATAACTTGCTCTGGATAGCCAACGTCTTCTATGCCTAGGATCCGACCGAAAGAAACCAGGCTTTCACAACATAAGCCCCTGCTTTTCCTTCCGAACTGCACCCCTTCCTGAATCATCCTGAATCTAGAAGTTTCAATTGTGAGGGTGTGCAACGTATTGAACAGGTTTGGGAACTCTATTCTACACTTCAGGAGTACCTATCTCAAGCACCCTTAGAGCCATGTTAATATACTGTAGTTATAATGACCCTGCGAGTTAATAAATACAAAGTAAAACCGTTTCCGAAGAGAACAAAGACATCGCTTACACAATGGTGAACCCTTTTCAGCATCCCGACTATCAAACCCTGAACTGGCTGCACACGAAGCCTTCAACTTGACCACACCTCGCCTTTGCTCTTAGGGTGTAAGGGGCGAAAATGAAAAGAGGGGTATAAGTTTAATCGCTGTGAAGATCTCGTGGTTGGGCCTGTATTTCCCGTTTGGAAACTCATGCGCGAAGTCCCTGTAAACCTAGACCCTATAAACACTCAACATAACCGGCAAAACGGAAAACATAGCCTGCTTCAGCGGCATCATGGAAAATAGCGCCTCGCTGCAATCCACAGATGAGGAAAATGCGGGGTCCGTGAATACAGGTCTTTATGTGTGTATATATATATATACATATATATATATATATACATATATATATATATATATATACAACTGCTGGTGTCTTAGATAGGGTCCCGGGGTTCTTGTTTCGGGATCCTTATAGCCAGGGGCTCAAGGCCTGGACAGCGAAAGCTCTGAACAGCGCAGGGCTTACATACATGTTTTTTTTTTCTACGGCGTTTGGGCTGCCACGGTTTAATATAGGGGCCTTAATAAATAGAATAGGGTTTTGGGGCCCAGTATACTATATTTTTTAATAAGGAGCAAACAATGTGCCACTGGTACCTGGTGTTGTTCAACAAAATGTATGCACTGATTGACATTTTGCGGGTAGGCGTAGCGTAAGGGTTTTAAGGTGTAGGGCCGTATAATAACCGAACTGATGAGGCCTCGAAAGTCCAAAACTAACGCAGAGCTGTGCTTTTGAGGGGTGCTTGAAGTAGCATAAGTGTGAAGCGGATATAAGGGCGATCAATGCTAATAGACGAAATTTAGGTATTCAACTGGCTAAGGTTTGGAAGGGCCTCTAGACTTTAAACGAACCCCAGATTCTGATAGATTCCTATACAAGATTCCGTCATAATCTCAACGCCTTAGATATCCCTTCTCACTTCAAAGAAGCCTTCAAGGAATCCTATAAACCCCACACCTAAACCCTAAGCCCTTAAACCTAATAAGCCTAAACCCGTAAACCCAAACCCCTTTAAACCCTAAACCCTAAACCCCAAACCCTAAACCCTAAACCCTAAACTCTAAACCCTAAACCCCTAAACCCTAAAAACACAGCATAACTCTCCTTTTCCCTCGAGATGTCCCTCGAGATGCCTCCGCTCGCGCTGCATCTCCAGCTTTCGCGCAGGCGTTGATGGCCTTGCGTTTGCGGTTTAGGATTCAGGGTTTAGGGTTTAGGGTAATTTAGGGTTTTGGGCCATTTAGGGGTGGGTTTTGGGGTTTGGAGTTTGGGGTTTAGGGTTTAGGGTAATTTAGGGTTGGGTTTTGGGGTTTGGGGTTCGGGGTTTAGGGTTTAGGGTAATGTAGGGTTGGGTTTTGGGGTTTGGGGTTCGGGGTTTAGGGTTTAGGGTAGTTTAGGGTTGGGTTTTGGGGCATATACTAGCTGTAGCATCTGGGAACCTGCTAAACGGTACTACAAGGTTCTATAAAAGCTATGCAGGGTTTTGGGGCTTATCTGCACCCTGAAAAGCCTACCACTTTTCGAGGATTCATACAATCACAGTAAGGATGCCCAACAAGGTAGGTATCTTTGGTTCGGTAGCAGGTAGGGTTTGGGGTCTGTAAGCAGAACTCCTCAAGCTGTCCTCAGCCCGGAACCCTAAACCAGAGCCTACAAACCGTAAACCCTTCGCGCCCTATACTCCTGGTCAGAGTTCAACACTAAACCCCTTAACCCTAAATGTGCATCGGCCGTACGACAGTAAGAGCTGGCTTGTCTCAATACAAGATGCTCCGGCAAAAAAGAACATGCTCTCAATGTACCAGTCTACAGATCCGCCTCTAATTTAAGGTATAGTCCCTAATAGCGGATTTTGGAAGGTCTGGGCAAGCCACAAGCAACTCAGCCATACAACTAAGCCAACACCATAACCCTACATCCTAAGTGTAAACCTCTCAGCTCTTGAACTCTACGCTGAACCGACGCTGGGTACTTGAAACAATCCCCCACACCCATAGCCAGATCCAAGTAGAGTCCCACATTGACCCGTGCAGCTATCTGTCCCCCAAAACATGATCCGACTTGACATGTACCTATAATTACGAGCATCGATACCCACGACAACACCCTCATGAAACCACACACACACCCCGACAACAGAATCCCAATGAAGCCCCTAGAATACAAGCAGAGCAACCTAAGAAACCCCAATGGCCCTACCAAAACCCTGATTAAGGAACAGCCCTAAACCCTAAACTCTGACAGCACCTAACCAAACCACAACAAAACCCGACACACAAAGGAACACCAAAAAGACAACCCGACGCTTCGCGGGGAGAGACGAGGCAAGCACTGAGCTGAAGCACACGACGTTCGGCTTTACACCATCCTGGCGCTTAGATCCTTAAGGGGATCCTTGATAGGGATCCCTTAAGGAAGGAAACCTTAAGGGGATCCTTAAAGGGATCCTTGAAGGGAACTTTAAAGGGATCCTTAAAGGCATCCTTAAAGGCCTTAAAGGCATCCTTAAAGGGAACCTTACAGGGATCCTTCAAGGGCTCCTTAAAGGGCTCTATAAGGAATTTAGGGCCTAGGGTCTCGGGGTGTCGGGGTTTCGGGGGGCTTTAGGGGTTTAGGGATTGTAGGGGGGTTTTAGGGGGCTTTAGGGGTGTTAGGGGCTTTAGATGTTCAGGAGTCTCCTGGTGCTTGGTAAGGTTTAGGGTCGAGAGTGTTCAGGACCCCTTAAAGGGATTTGTTTCATGGTTCCTTTGAAGGAACCTTGAAGGGAACCCTTAATATTAAAGGAGCCCTAAACACATTTTTCAGTGTTCCCATAAAGGGCTCGGGTTTAAGGGACAAACGTTAGGGATCCTTTATCAAGGGATTCAAAATGAAGTCTTTTAAGGATACCTTCTGAGGGTGCTTTTAACGGGGTCCGCTCAGGATACTGTAGGAGCTTATAAAGTTTAGTGAGCACTGGGGCTTTTGAGGCACATCATCCACGCTTTAGAGTAGAGCGTCCAGAGTTTGCACAGCATGTCCCACGTTCCTTGTGCATGTGAAAGGACTTTATGGCTTCATGACCAGGTCCATACATACAGTCTCATGTACACCTTTACACACAGCTGCATACTTACCACACATGACATGATCATGCATACATGCATGCATGCATATCCTAGACTTCTTCCCATTCCCGGACCCCGTAACTCTAAACATTCCCCCCACCCCCTCTCTCGGCCTCCCTCCCCAGTCTCAATCCCGTTGCCTCCTCCATGCTCTCGAGGACCCCGTGCGCTGCTGCGGCGTCGCTGCCGCGCGCGCAGCTGTTGATCACGGCGCTGTAGACATGCCTTGAAACAAGTCCCTAAGGGTCCATGTACTCACATGGCTTATACATGGGCCCTAAAGTACCTTTGTAGGGACTACATTAAGGCCAATGTATATACTATATGGTCACATGGACCCTTAGGGAGTTTAGGTTCAAGCAAGGCTGCACTGCAGGGGCCTTAACTTAATAATTAGAATAGGGTTTTGACGGGTTTCGGGAGATATTATACTATAACTGTACTAAGGATCGAACCCTCAAAATAATATAGGTAGTTATTTAGGCTTCTATATTATATCTTGAGGGGTTGAGATTCTAGGGTCGGCGGAGCCAGGATTAGGGCTTTTGGCGAGTTGTTCCCGGGTTTTGCAGGGGCTTTTGGTGCTATCATGGTTTAGATCTTTCGGGTAGACAGCTTGAAGTGCCCATGCAGCCAAAATTTTGCCTTAGCGGACCTCCAAAGCAGGTTTCATACAGAAGTAGCCGAGGGTTAGGGACAGTGTACGTAAGAAGTATAGACAGATTGCAGGGACGCTATATAGCTAAGTCTTCGGTTAGGCTCTGGAACCAGACTGTGTTCAGGAGGTACATACACAAATACACACATATTATGTATATATATATATACACACACACATAACGACTTACATATTTGCTCCCACTCCTGAGCATTTCATTTTGACCGGGGAACTGGTTTGGCGCAAGCCGCCGCTGGGCCATGGACAGCAAGACCTGGCACTGCTGCTGCATGTCAATGAAGGCTCCTAAACCTTAGACCCTAAACCATAACCCAAAACCCCAAGCCATAGTTATTTGATCGGTCTGGACCCTAAGTGTCCGCAGACTCTTGTGGCAAGGTCTTTCGGCCCTGAATAAACGACGGGCTTCATGGTATTTTATACTATCTATTTAGGAACTTCTAGGGGATATCATGACTAGTCACTAGTCGTTGCGACCTTCATAATTTTGCAATCTCATGTGCGTGCGGGTGCTGCAACGAACGCAGGACGGGATGTTTCTCGGGGATCTGACTCCGGGTATAGTCCGTTCAAGTCCCTAAAACCTATCCGTAGCTTCGCAACTCAAACCTACAAGAAGTCTTAAAACAATCAGTTTAGGGTTAGGGTGTGGGCTTAGTCCAAACGCCTCCACGCAAAAGAAAGAGCCAAAGAAACCAAAAACCTAGGGCCTTAACCCAGAAGGCAACCCCAAGTATTGGATGCCGATCATGGGCGTTGCTGAACCCTAGGGCCTTTTTGCGTGCTCCTGGGTCCTGTAGGCCGAAAGTGTCCAAATCCCATCCTGCCCTAAGGGCCCTTCGTTCCAAATAGCCACATAACTTCACCAGATACCAACCTACCTTACTACTATACAAGTACCTGATTAGTGGAGCCCTTGGCCCCTTGGGCTTGTTCTTATAAACCCTAAGCCCTAAACGCTAAACCCTAAACCCCTCGGACCTTCAGGCTTGCTCTAAACCCTAAGCTGCATAGCGGAACCGTGAAGCCCTTTAAACTCTATTCGTTGCTTTAAGAACCATTTACCTAAACCCTAATCTCTAAACCCTAGACGCCTGCTATATGGGCCTCAATAGTTAGAACAGGGTTTAAATTCCTTTATAATATAATTCTAAGTAACAAACCGCCCAAAATAATCAGGATAATATAGGTAATTCTGGAGGCCCCTATATTA